ACCATCTATATATATAATTCTCCTCTTCGAGCCGTTAGAAAACAAGCTGCAAACGCTCTCCCTACCTCCCCACCCCTACATGGTTTTAGTGAGCTGTGTTCACTCTAAATGTTTACAAGCAGAGCCAACGATTTTAAACGTAGGGGGGGGGGGGGGGGAGGGGGGGGGAAGGAAGGGGGGGGGGGGTTATGGTCCTTAACGAGCTACTTATAGTGTTTTAAAGAAATATTTTCAGTGTCAGCGTTGGTACTGTCGAATTCACAAATTATGAATTATTGAAAATTAGAAACAACTAAATAGCGGCGTATGTTATGCCGCGGGCCGGCTCGTATCCCATAAAACACAATACAACAACAGCCATAACCGACCTACCTACCCCCACAGCCCCCCCCCCCCCCCCTTTTGTTTAATGGGCCTATAACCTGTGAACGATCTTTGGTTACCCAGGTTACAACTGGGTCAATAGAACTACTCGCTACTGTGACGTTATTACACCCATTATTCTAGAAACTTCTTATGTTTCCACCAATTACTCGGGATGGTGAGTGGAGGATGGGGGGTGGGGAGGGGATGAGAGGTGGGGGGATGACTGGTGGTTAATGACTTGTACGGAGAATGACAAGAGAGTCTGACGTCTAACCCAGGGCGTCTAGCCATAAGTACTCAGCATTGGTCCACGAATGTTTTGTAGGGGGTGGGGGCGGGGGGAGAGGTTCTAACCTGTTAGCATACAAATGAATGTGATTGTGTTTTTTTTAACCTTAATTTTATTTAAGAAACAAAGAAACCTGTTATATAAGATTGTTAATCTTCTCATGTTAATAGATTCTGTGCTATTTCTAATTTAAAAATTAAAACTTAAACAAAATCACATATCTTTAATAATCTCATGTTGCTCATTGTAACTGAACTTATTTTTAATTTTCCCTTTTCGAGTGTAACTCATATTTAAGTATTTATTTTGTTAGTTGCATTTTGGATACTACTCCCTCTACAATACTTTTATTTTAGGATAGCTATTCTAGCTGAATCGATCTCTTAGCCTTGCTGTTGATTAACTTCGCGTTTAAGATTGTTTAAAAAATTGCTTAAGACAACTGCTCTATACTAAATTATATTTGAAGATTGCTATTCTAAGGGACATTCTAGGGTTTACGCTAGTTAGCTAAGACATTTAGGTGAACATTGGATGTACGCACCATTATCTTGAGCCTGATCAAATACCAGCAACTACCATCCAAATAATATCCTTATAACATTCAAATACCACCAAAATACTATCCAAATACCATTCAAATACCATTCAAATACCATCCAAATATCATCCAAATATCATCCAAATATCATCCAAATATCATTTAAATACTTTCCTAATACCATCCAAATACCACTCAAATTCTAGCCAAATATCCATACACTAGCCAAATACCACAAAAATACCTTCTAAATACCACCCATATACCATCCGAATACCGTCCGAAAATTCCGTCCAAATACCACGTAAATACCAACCAAATAGTAGCCAAATACCAGCCAAATACCTTCTAAATACCATCCAAATACCGGCCAAAAACACACCCGCCAAATACCATAAAAATATAATCAAACTACCATCCGAATACCACAGGGACTTGCTAAGTCATTCAAGATTTTTAAAATTGTTTTTTTTTGTCTAAACAAGTAATTAAGTTTTAATGAAAATAGAAAATAATTAGTTTCAAACGGAGATTCATTAATATTTAATTATTTAGAAAATAGTGGCTAACAGATTAGGTAAAAAAAAAAGTAAGCTGATTCAACAAAAACTACGTCGGTTTAAAAATCGGTGTGGGCGACAGAAAGAGCTCATCAATTACTGCCCAAATTACTCGTTTTCGAACCTCATTCATGATAGAGTACTTGATTTAGACTGCAACGATTCAAATGCCTGATTACAAAAATATTTTATCATAGCTATGGGGATATTGTTAAATAAAATGCATCTTATTTCATGTAATTTTGTAGTCCATAAATAAATTATATCAAACCCCCTGGACAAAAACCCATGGGACAAACCCCAACCCCCCCCCCCCCCCGACATAACCCCCCTGGACATAAACCCCCCGCGACATGAACCCCCTGGACAAAATAAAAAATAAAAAATATAAAGCGATTGTGGTACAATGTCTGATGGATTAACAGATAATTTTCAAAACATGGGAATCGAACAAGATTAACCCTCTATATCTCTAATAATAAATACTTAAATTTTATAAAACAAAGTTAAGTTCTACCTTGCGAGGGGTTAAAATAGTGTCATGTGACATGTGTCACGTGACTTACCTTTTTCCTACAGATGACGACGATAACCAGGATGTTGCCGGCCAAACCCGCCACGATGACGAAGCAGTAGGAGATGACGAGGGCGATGACGGTGGTGGGGGAGAACCAGAAGGTCTGGTTGGTGAACTCCTGCACGATGAACAGCATCGTTTCCGGCGTCGTGCTGGCGTTTCCGGTC